CTGGGCAAGAGAGTAGCCTATGACAGCCGCACAAAGATGTAAATAAATCAAAGTGGCCTACCAGACTGACAGCTTTCAGAATAGTATAGCAGCACAGAGGATACACCGGTAAATGATATGATGTGATTTTACATTCAGTCACTAAGCATAAGTATCAATGATATGATGTCAACATATAATGCTCTACAATCTATATCAAATGATGAAACATGCAAGCAAATATAATAATCAACATAAAAATTTACTAAATAAACAATAATCAATGATTATGAAGTGATCAATGATAGACATGATACTATCCAATTATTGATTTTAGTAAAAGGTTATTTATTACTTTGTAATCTCTCCCCATGTATAAATTACTAATTTTAATTTAGACTATACTGGCAGAAGAGTTAAAGTTAAATTTTAAAAATTTACTTTCATTAGTCTAGGAGTAATTAGCCCCGTCCAAATCTCGGCGAGCTCGCCAGTGTGACGTGACGCGTGGTTTAAATGTTTATGTTGTTGAGTAGGGATCTTCCTTTCAACACATTCCCTCCACCATATTAACGGAACTAAAGTCTGAGCTATGTTGCTCTCAGACAAAGTCCTGGATATCCAAGAAAACAGCCATATTGGCTCGTTAAGTTCATTAACATTAGCTGAACTTGGTACCCACAAGAGAAGGCAAGGAATTTTAGATGTCTATCATACTTAATGAATTATTAGCCAGGGCAAGTGATTCCTCCGTCATCTACCTTCTCCCGGTGTTATTATAAATAATTAAAGAATTATTATATTATTAATTGAGCCCCCACCAAATGTAATTCTATCTATGTTTAGTTAAACAGGTAAGACTGAATACACTTGGAATTTAACAAACGATGTAGTATAAAACTTGACATACAGCTTTATTTTCTAACAATCAGTTAATTGACATACCCAGTTTGTTGTGTTTACACAAACAGTGACTAGCTAAAGTTATGATAGTAATGGGTTGTTGTTTCAGCGCGAGAACAGCACCTGGGATTAGAGTGGGTGTGATGAAGGTGATAAAGTATGAACAATTTATGAACATAACTCAAGTTTCATAGAACCTCTGACAGCCGTGAGCACTGTCAAGCTCTTCCTCCTCTTCCAGCTTCTTCCCTGCTTGTTTCTCCTTCTCGCCCCAACCTCGTTCTCCCCCTCGTTCTCCACCTCGTCCCCAGCTGGCCGAGTCTAACACAATGTAGGCTACTTCATGGACTGATCGTCACATGGGCGCTGTAATCATGGAAACAAAACACATACGTGTAGTATCTTGACTTACACTAAGAATACATGTATCAATTAATACAACATATAATAATAAGATATAGCCCATCACTCCTCCTCATATTCCACATCCTCTCCAGTCTAGTCTGAAGGTCTTTTGTCTTACATGGGCGTCACATATCCTGCCTTCCCTCAAATGCTATGTCATGATAGTTGACTTTCTAAGTCTGTTGTCCGTCTTCACTCAGACTTCGAGTTGGCTGACATAGATATTACATGACCACGTGGAGCAGGTTATGTGCTGAAAACTCAAACATTATATATGTGCACGCTGTCCTGAATATTATCTTTCAGTGACAGTAAATACTGTACACCCATCATTCTCCCCCTGGGGTTATAAATCCCCTGTTTAGGTGAACACATTAAGTGAGCACATGGTGGGCACACAAAACGTAGCAGCATCCCTGCACATATTTGGGCATCATTTCCCACAGTCCCAACTCATATTTTGGCTGATCGTGAAAACAATATAATTACATTTCATTATAGCAAATGTCATTGTTCACATCTTATTTTATACACATGAAAACATACAATGAAAAACATGTGACACAAACATACAGGAAATAGGAATAGTTTAGCAGTTCCTTAACTTGAGATACTGAATACTCACAGAACTATTTCAAGCAGAATGTGCAGACAAATTAGGAAAAGGTAGTATAGACTAAGCTTAACTCCCTAACCTAAGTATACAAGATTAAAATTAATATTTTCTCTCACCTGGGAACTTCCCATTTATCGCCAAACCAGAGTACGACAGTAAAATATACCTTTACGTCGACCTGTTTGTTTGCCGGCAGGCTGCGATTAATAACGGGAATTCCACAGGCTCGCAGTATAAGTATTAATCTATTGTCCAAATTAAACTCCTCCCTTTCCTTAGTTTTTACCCAACCCTCAAGATGATGGCTTAAGCTCCTCCTCCGAAGTACCTATCAAATCACATTAGCTAACAAGTGGCCTGTCAGTCAATTATGGACTGACATCCCTAGAGCAAACATTCTTAAGTGCCCCAATCTAGTTTGCCCCGAATTACACTGACGTGTTAAACTTTAAACTTCTCCTCGCCTCAATGTCTACAGTCCGCTCAATTCCCCTGTTCAAAAGGGCCCCACTCAGGCTGTGTTAGGAGATAACATTATGACACTGACGTGAGAATCAAACCTACACCCCTAGTCTCATCAAAAGTCTGTTCAAAGCAGTCTGGTCAGGAGATAACATTTATGACATGGGCATGTGAAAGGGAATTCTCTAGCCCCGGTGTAATTGTGTAACATTACCCAAGACTGAGTCGCTTTGTCTGGACTAAGGACTGGAAACAATTTAAATCCGTGCGGTTTAAAGCAATATTAGGATAAAGCGCAGAGTAAATATAATTCTGTCTCTTTAGAACCAGAAGAACTTATTACAAGTACTAACTTCTGGAATCACTGAGATCGTCTCGTGACAGAGTCCCTCAGTGAGATGTAGTCTGTCAGTGGGATGGAGTCAGTCAGTGGGATGGAGTCTGTCAATGGGATGGAATCTGTCAGTGGGATGGAGTCTGTCGTAGGATGGAGTCAGTCAGTGGGATAGAGTCAGTCAGTGGGATAGAGTCAGTCAGTGGGATAGAGTCAGTCAGTGGGATGGAGTCTGTCAGTGAGATGAAGTCTGTCAGTGGGATGGAGTCTGTCAGTGGGATGGATTCTGTCAGTGGTATGGAGTCTGTCAGTGGTATTTAGTCTGTCAGTGGGATGGAGTCAGTCAGTGGGATAGAGTCAGACAGTGGGATGGAGTCAGTCAGTGGGATAGAGTCCCTCAGTGGGATATTGTCAGTCAGTGGGATGGAGTCAGTCAGTGGGATGGAGTCAGTCAGTGGGATGGAGTCAGTCAGTGGAATTGTGTCAGCCAGTGGGATGGAGTCAGTCAGTGGGATTAAGTCAGTCAGTGGGATGGAGTCAGTCAGTGGGATGGAGTCAGTCAGTGGGATAGAATCCCTCAGTGGGATAGATTCAGTCAGTGGGATGGAGTCTCTCAGTGGGCTGGAGTCCCTCAGTAGGATGGAGTCAGTCAGTGGGATAGAGTCATTCAGAGGGATGGAGACCCTGAGTGGGATGGAGTCTGTCATTGGGATGGAGTCAGTCAGTGGGATGGAGTCAGTCAGTCGGATGGAGTCCCTCAGTGAGATGGAGTCAGTGAGTGGGATGGTCCCTCAGTAGGATGGAGTCCCTCAGTAGGATGGAGTCCCTCAGTGGGATGGAGTCCCTCAGTGGGATGGAGTCCCTCAGTGGGATGGAGTCATTCAGTGGGATGGAGTCCCTCAGTGGGATGGCGTCTGTCTGAGGGATGGAGTCTGTCTGAGGGATGGAGTCTGTCTGAGGGATGGAGTCTGTCTGAGGGATGGAGTCTGTCTGAGGGATGGAGTCTGTCTGAGGGATGGAGTCTGTCAGTGGGATGGAGTTTCTCGGTGGGAAGGAGTGAGTTAGTTGGATGGAGTCCTTCAGTGGGATGGAGTCTTTTAGAGGGATGGAGTCTGTCAGTGGGACGGAGTCAGTCAGTGGGATAGAGTCAGTCAGTGGGATGGAGTCAGTCAGTGGGATAGAGTCCCTGAGTGGAATAGAGTTAGTCAGTGGGATGGAGTCTGTCAGTGGGATGGTGTCTGTCAGTAGGATGGAGTCCCTCAGTGGGATGGAGTCAGTCAGTGGGATGGAGTCAGTCAGTGGGATGGAGTGCATTAGTGGGATGGAGTCCCTCAGTGGGATGGAGTCTGTCAGTCAGTGGGCTGGAGTCGGTCAGTGGGATGGACTCTCTCAGTGGCTCTCAAATGGGCTGTGGAAAGCCGCTTGGCCTCTGATCAGTTTCGCCTGCTGTATTGTGATGCTCAGATCGTAAGGTATCCGTGTCGAGTTTCGTCCTGACCATCAAAGCCTTTTGTCTCAACATGTGTAAAAGCAGATAAATTTTTTTTTTTTTTATTTAACGACCTCAGTCAACCAATAAGGCAGACATTACACACATACTCTCATTCAACGACTAGATTGGCCAGCCATTATCTTCAACAGCCCTAAAAACCACGATTTTGTGACCAGAGAACCCAGCTTGATCTTCTAGGGGTTACCAGTCACGACCAGACACGACCGGACCGCTAGAATCGGAACACATGTTGACGCCTTGATATTGACTGGAATCACCTGAGCTGTGTCTATAGTCAAGTCAACCTCTTCTGTTGTTGGATTCAGCCTCTTCTGTTGTTGGATTCAGTTTCTTCTGTTGTTGGATTCAGTTTCTTCTGTTGTTGGATTCAGTTTCTTCTGTTGTTGGATTCAGCCTCTCCTGTTGTTGGATTCGCTAAAGAGGAAAAAACAAGTCGGATTTAGATTGTTTATTGTACTTCTGCACGTGAAGTGTACAACTAGAAAACATCACAGCACTTATTCAGAAATATCACAATGTACATGATAACTATGAAGAAAACTAATGACACTTTAATGACATGAATGTTAGGTGACTTTATATTTAAGCATACAAAAAGCGAAACCAGGGTGTCTACAGGCGGCCACAGTCATTGTCAAGGGCGCGACAAGAAACGCTCACTTATAGCAGCGTCGCTGGCATCCAGGCCATGAGCAAGTGTTAGGGCTGGGTTTAAACCCCTGTCGTACAGACACAGAGATGACAGAGCATGGCATAGCAGAGCACTGGGCGACACGCTTGAAGACAATATGAGTCACCTGCTGATATCTGGCATCTTCTTGCTGATCACAGTGTTAGAAATGGGGTAACTAATGTTGTGTTTTAGATAGGGGGTAACTTATGTTGTGTTTTAGATAGGGAGTAACTTATGTTGTGTTTCAGATAGGGGGTAACTTATGTTGTGTTTTAGATAGGGGGTAACTTATGTTGTGTTTTAGACAGGGATAACTTATGTTGTGTTTTAGATATGGGGTAAATTATGTTGTGTTTTAGATATGGGGTAAATTATGTTGTGTTTTAGATAGGGGGTAACTTATGTTGTGTTTTAGATAGGGGGTAACTTATGTTGTGTTTTAGATAGGGGGTAACTTATGTTGTGTTTTAGATAGGGGTAACTTATGTTGTGTTTTAGATAGGGGGTAACTTATGTTGTGTTTTAGATAGGGGGTAACTTATGTTGTGTTTTAGATAGGGGGTAACTTATGTTGTGTTTTAGATAGGGGGTAACTTATGTTGTGTTTTAGATAGGGGGGTAACTTATGTTGCGTTTTAGATAGGGGGTAACTTATGTTGTGTTTTAGATAGGGGGTAACTTATGTTGTGTTTTAGATAGGGGGTAACTTATGTTGTGTTTTAGATAGGGGGTAACTTGTTGATATGCTGTAGATATGTGGCAACTTTTTTTATATGTTTTAGATACGGGGTAAATTGTTAATATATTTTAGAAATACGGTAAGTTATATTTTAGATATCGGGTAAGTTGTCATGTTTCTGCAGTCATACATAAACCTCACTGTTCCTGCCGTCAAACCTGTCTGTCTCTGCTGTAATATCTTAAACTTGTATATTTCTGTTGTGATACGAAAACCCTATTACATATCCATTTGAACCTGTAAATATTTATTTGACTTGTAGGCAGACGAGATATAATCATATGTGAATTCCTCCATGACTGTAATTCTCTGTCCAGTTTATATCCTACACATCTCTTTTGTGCAGATCCTTTTTTTGGATAGATTTTTAGAAATGTATGGGGAATTAATGGCGGTCGGTATACTATTGACAACATGAAGCACTAAGTGGGTTGCCTTATTACTCTGTAACAGAGGCGCAAATATGGGAGATTAGATATTAACTATATTGTTTCTCACACAGACCGGAAACAGTCATTATGGAAGATTAAATGTTAAACTGTATTCTACCTCCACACACACGAGAAACAACCAGTATGGAAGATTAAATGTTAAACTGTATTCTACCTCCACACACACGAGAAACAACCAGTATGGAAGATTAAATGTTAAACTGTATTCTACCTCCACACACACGAGAAACAACCAGTATGAATGATTAAATGTTAAACTGTATTCTACCTAAACACAGACGAGAAACAACCAGTATGGATGATTAAATGTTAAACTGAATTGTACCTCCACACAGCGAGCAACCAGTGTAAAAGATTATTTGTTAAACTGTATTGTACCACACAGACGAGCAAACAACGACATCCTGCGGCTAAACATCAAGAAAGAGCCTGTCCTTGACCCCAACACTGTCTGTAAGACCTACCCAGCACTGACGTCACAGCAGTACAATTTGTGCCGCAAGTACCCGGATGTGACGGCCTCGGCGATCCAAGGGGTACAAGTGGCCATCCACGAGTGTCAGTTCCAGCTGAGGACCCACCGGTGGAACTGCTCGGCCCTGGAGAAGAAGAACAAGAACCCTCATGCCAGTCCTGTGTTGGCCAAAGGTAAGACCCCGTCAGATCCCGTTTACGTTCCTCTGCAACTGTTCCTTTCTGCTGCACACAGCTGTCAAACAGGGAGCGGAATACAGATCACGTGTACAACATTCAGTCAATTGTCTCTCCTCTACAAGACTTTGCAGAACTAACCTCAACATTGTTTTTTTTTTTTTTTTTAACGATTCAGTTTAGTGTTTAGTAGTTTGCCATAGCTTCTGAATAGCTAACTATCAACAACTTTGTCAAAATCAAAGCTATTAGTGCGAGTTCCGGGCAGGGTTAACGGTCTATTTTCTGTCTAATGCAAATCTTTGAAATAGCGCCCTAAATATTCAACTTGAATTTTGATGTCGTTCCTTTTGCCACACCCCTTACGGTGTCGCTGGATGCAACCGCATATCTCTATCATAGTACGGCACGCCCCTGGTTCAAGGCTCGATTGTGGAAAGGGAGTTGGGAAGGGGGGCATTGCTTCTCTAACAAGCATTAGGGGTTTCTTTCAAAGTGGAAATGCGTCTGCCTGAGAGGTCAGCAACCATCAGTCTGCCTCAGAGGTCAGCAACCAACAGTCTGCCTGAGAGGTCAGCAACCAACAGTCTGCCTGAGAGGTCAGCAACCAACAGTCTGCCAACAAGTAAGCCAGATCTGTATTTGGATGGTTATGAAAAGCTCAGGGTGTCGAAAAAGACCAAAATCCAGAAGTGGCCGAACAATCAGTACTTCCTATTGTATATTATTTTGACGTACATCATTTGTTATTACTGTCTACTGACAAAGGCTTGATACTAAATAAGTTATGTGTGTATTGCATGAACAACGTTACATTAGTGCTTTGTAAGATGTGGGTTCCATATTCTGACTCTGACTGTTTTGAGTGCAAGTGTTTAAGAGATCTCTAGGATTATGGTTGGAGCTACGGAGTGTTGTCATTTATTCGATGCTATCGCCAGCAGGATAATACCAGAGGAGTAGTTGAAGTAAGTCTGCCATGGACTTTTGCGCCTCTCACAGCCGTCGTTTTGTTCAAGAAAAGGGAAATAATAATAGTTCTTTGAAAAACCATCTTATGTCATGATGGGTTGTAGATCTTTGCATACATTTCAATATTTCCACCAGACGACCACAATGGTTCAGCTTTATTCGAGTCACTGCTACTGCTAGACTAAGCATTTTGTGTCTTAGTGAAACATGTGATTAATTTAGTTTATTAAAATTTTCATTTAGGTTCTAATTTGCAATTAAGCTATAAGGAAAATTATTTGATGCATACTATAAATATATAAATGACTTAAGTAGGTAGATAAGAGTTGTACCCCACCAGAACATCGCACAAGCGAAAAACACCCGCTGACACAAAGTGTCACCGTGCGGACAAGGATCAGCCGTGGAGAGGTCATTTAGGCCATATTTATAGCCCAGCTATATTTAGGGTTTTCGGCAAAAGCCAGGGTGGGGCTGACTGACTGACCTACCTTCTACCCCACCAGGACAACACACAAGCGATAAACACCCGATGACACAAAGTGCCACCATGTGGATCAGAACACCTTGGAGAGGTCCCAGAAACCGCGTTCAGCCATTAGACCATATTTATGGCCGGGCTATATTGCGGCCCCTGCAAGAGCCAGAGTAGGGCTTTCAATAACGAACAATTTCATCCTAAGAGGGACGGGAAATATATATAAGGGTCGGGCTCCCCCCCCCTCCCCCTCCCCCTTCCCCTCCCCCCCCAAAGTGCATCCCACATGGGAACGAGTTATTAGTAGCTTATATAACCTAAGTGTATAGTAAGTAACAAATATCTTTCCCTATAGCTTAAAAACTTTAATGGGAATTTCGACAAAGTAAATTATTAACCCGGTTAGCGGGGTAGGGGTATCCCCTATCAAAGGAGAAGTAAGACGCCTCCTTTCCTCCGCTAGTCTACGGGACACCCTTGGGCAAGGTGGAGTACCCGTTTAGCACCCCAATCAGGGTTACGTGAAGCCATGGAAGCAGGTGGTGGATGGAGTGTAAGAGCAGCCGACAGGTATTGTTGGTTATGGTCTGCACTCTGCGGCGATAGGCAGATGATCTCATCAGTAGAGACAATGGCTATGGCCACCGACTAGTATAGTCACTGCTCAGGAGGAAAGCAACGGCAAACTACCTTCTGCAAATTTTGCCAAGAACCCATAACAATCATGAAAGAAAACATAACACAGAAGAGATCTGGTGGCGAGACCCCCAGGCCAGGCAGATCAGATAACACTGGGGAAGAGTGTGATACAGGGGTCGGTACTAGTAATCGTGATGACGGAGTTAATCCTGACTGTGTTACCAAGGAAATCCACTGTGTCAGACTAAGAACACAGAATGCGAATAGGAACGTGGAATGTGAGAAGTCTGTATGAAGGAAAGCTTAAAGTAGTATGTGATGAGATTGAAAGATTAAATATTCAGATCTTAGGAATTTGTGAACATCGTTGGAGTGGCAAGGGAGCTTTATAAACAACACCCTAGAAGGCTTTTCACATGGACATCCCCTGACGGTGTTACCAAAAATCAGATAGATTACATTTTAATACAAAGAAGATGGAGATCGAGCATAACATCTGCAAAAACCCTGCGAAGTGCAGATTGCGATACAGATCATCAGTTACTAGAAGCAGATCTAAAATTAAAACTCAAAAAGCTTACCCGAGGACCAAGGCCATTTCGATTTGATCTCACAAAAATACCAGATGCATACAACGTAGAAGTGAAGAACCGTTTTGAGGTCTTGATGTCTGTACAAGAGGAAATGACACCTGATGAACTGGCGGTACAAGCTAGGGATATCTTGATAACAGCAGCTAAAGACTTAATACCCACCAGGACTAAGCAACATAAACCATGGATCACACCATACACGTTAGAACTAATAAAACAACGAAGAGAACTGAAAAAGAAAGGAGAAACCAATGATAGTAGGATGAAGTATAAATTTTTTACACGAGAAATAAGAAAGTACACAAGAAAGGATAAAAATCAGTATGTACAAGATTGCTGTATTAAAATAGAGCAGCATCACAAAAATGGAAGAGATTACGAAATGTTCAAGGAAATGAAGTTATTGACAAGAAATTTTCAACCTCAGTTAAATGTTATTTGTGACAGGTTGGGAAATACTTTAACAGAATCTAGACAAATTCTAGGAAGATGGCAGGAATACTGCAGCGGAATGTATGATATGAATGACAGTGAGGATATGAATGATATACATGAACCAGTAACAGTAGAGGCAGAACCTGAACCTTCATTAGATGAAATTTCATGGGCAATAAGGAGCCTGAAAAATGGTAAATCACCTGGATGTGATGAGATACCAGCTGAATTGATTAAAGCGGGAGGAGAAGAAAGCATAAAAATCTATCATGCATTATGTGAAAAGATATGGAAATATGGTATTTGGCCAAAAGACTGGAAGAGAACTATCTTCATTCCAATACCAAAAAAGGGTGACCTGAAATTATGTACAAACTATCGAACTATTGCCCTGATCAGTCATGCAAGTAAAATTCTACTAAAAATTATAATGAGAAGACTGCAAAAGAAAATGGAAGAAGAGATTAATGTAGCTCAGGCTGGATTTAGACAGGGAAGAGGAACAAGAGATCATATATTCAACATGCGTTTAATAATAGAGAAGTGTAGAGAATTTAATGTAAATCTGTTCTTATGTTTTGTGTGATTATTCAAAAGCATTTGACTGTGTACAACATCAGAAGCTTTGGGAAATCATGAGGAATATGGGCTTTCCATCACATATAGTGCAGCTCATTAAAATGCTCTATCAAGACCAACAAGCAGCAGTCAGAATAGATGGAGAGACATCAGACTGGTTTGGCATCAAGCAAGGAGTCCGTCAGGGATGTGTGCTGTCACCGTATTTGTTCAACCTGTACGCCGAAAATATAATGAGAAATGTAAGAGATGATATAAACAAGGAACAATATGATGCCCTAAACATCGGTGGTCATGAAATACCAGAAATTCGTTATGCTGATGATACAGTATTACTATCAACATCACAAAATGGTTTAGAAAACTTATTAACCTCACTCCAAAGAAATAGTGAAAATCATAACTTATTTCTTAACACAGCAAAAACAAAGATAATGCATACAAACAAAACTGCCATGGAGAAGGAAATATATGTTAATGAGGAAAGATTGGAAGTGGTGGAAAATTTCGAATATCTTGGGTCACTGGTTACCAACAATGGTGACACAATGAAAGAAATTAAACGGCGACTATCAATTGCTCTTCAAAGACTAAAACAACTGAATAAATTATGGAATTGTACAGATAGAATTACAAAGGTCAGATTTTTAAGAGCATGCATCTTTCCCATTGCAACATACGCCTGTGAGACCTGGACACTTACTAAACAAGCGGAACAGCGCATAAATGCATTTGAATATAAATGTTACAGACAGGTTCTAAGAATATCTTGGGTAAAGAAAAGAACAAATGCATCCATACTTCAAGAGCTGAATATTGAAGAGGGTTGGCTAGTAAAGACAATAAAACAAAGAAAATTGAAATATTTTGGTCACTTGAAACGTCATGGAGGTCTAGAGAGAACAATAATGGAGGGGTATATGCCTGGGAAGAGAGGAAGAGGAAGGCCAAGGAGAAGATGGGTGCAGGATGTGGCAGATGATCTCCAGATGGGTGTATCAGACGCAGGACATCTTGCTCATGATAGGAAGGTTTTCCGGAGGGTTGTTATGGCAGCGAGGTTCCGCGAGGGACATGCTACTGAATGAATTAATGAAATTATTAACATGTTTCGCTAAGACACAAAATGCTTAGTCTAGCAGTAGCAGTGACTCGAATAAAGCTGAACCATTGTGGTCGTCTGGTGGAAATATTGAAATGTATGCAAAGATCTACAACCCATCATGACATAGTTACTCGGAGAACAATAATTATTTCCCTTTACTTGAATAAAACGAAGGCTGTGAGAGAAGTCGTCTGAGAATCATCATCATCATCAGGTGCTATGCCGACTGGCGTGTGAGATCATGCCTCTCTACAGTCCTCGATCTGCTGCAGCATGTATCAGTTCGTGTGCTGACACACCTCCATGCCATGCAACAAGACTGTCAAGAATATTTTCTCGTTGTCTTTCTTTATCCCTCCTTCCAAAGATCTTTCCTGTGGTCACCACATTTTCCATTTTCACTCTTCTCATAAAATAGCAGTAAAATGACTGTCTCCTTCTGATATCTGTGATAAGTTGTCTTCGGGCTCCCGCCTCTGTCAAAACCTCCTGGTTGCTTTTGTTGGCTCTCCAAGGTATATGATGCCATCTGTGAATAAGAACACAAAATAAACATGTGAAGGACGCAACGGTCCCGAAGACACATGCACTAGTCTTGTCTTAACACGGGTGGGTCTTACTTGTCACACTCACCATCGCCATGGGCTGTGAGTTCCCTGCCACGCTATAGCACAATATAACACCATCGTCTGCAAAGACTGACACATTTTCAATACCAGGGTTACAAATAAACAGGTTTGAGGCTGAAGGCTTGTCACAGCAACATCCCTTGTATATTGCCACATTGTATTAATTTCACGCTGACACATACATGATGATTGCCTGTCGTCTGCTCACAGGTTACAAAGAGATACATGATGTTTGCCTGTCGTCTGCTCACAGGTTATAAAGAGACAGCTTTCGCTTATGCCATCTCGGCTGCAGGGGTGACGCACCAGGTGTCTAAGGCTTGCAGTATGGGCAAGTTGAAGTCTTGTGGCTGTGACATGAGTGTCCATGGAAGGAAAGGTAACAATGACGGGGGATTATAGCCAACTGTGACGTGGGTGGACAAATAACTGTGACATATAATAAAAAGTAACTGTGACAGAGGAGGACAAGTTACTATGACATGGGAGGGAAGGTAACTGTGACAGAGGAGGGAAGGTAATTGTGACATGGCAGGGAAGGTAACTGTTACATGGGAGACATATTAACTGTGACGTGGAATGAAAGGTAACTGTGACATGACAGGAAATGTAACTGTGACGTGGAAGGGAAGGTAACTGTGACGTGGGAGGAAAGGTAACTGTGACGTGTGAGGAAAGGCAACTGTGACGTGGGAGGAAAGGTAACTGTGACATGGGAGAAAAGGTAACTGTGACATGGGAGGGAAGGTAACTGTGGTATGGGAGGGAAGGTAACTGTGGCATGGGAGGGAAGGTAACTGTGACATGGGAGGGAAGGTAACTGTGACATGTGAGGAAAGGTAACTGTGACATGTGGGGAAAGGTAACTGTGACATGGGAGGGAAGGTAAATGTGACATGGGAGGGAAGGTAACTGTGACATGGGAGGGAAGGTAACTGTGACATGGGAGGGAAGGTAACTGTGACATGTGGGGAAAGGTAACTGTGACATGGGAGGGAAGGTAACTGTGACATGTGGGGAAAGGTAACTGTGACATGTGGGGAAAGGTAACTGTGACATGTGGGAAAAGGTAACTGTGACATGGGAGGGAAGGTAACTGTGACATGGGAGGGAAGGTAACTGTGACATGTGAGGAAAGGTAACTGTGACATGGGAGGGAAGGTAACTGTGACATGTGAGGAAAGGTAACTGTGACATGGGAGGGAAGGTAACTGTGACATGGGAGGGAAGGTAACTGTGACATGTGGGGAAAGGTAACTGTGACATGTGAGGAAAGGCAAATGTGACATGTAAGGAAAGGTAAATGTGACATGTGAGGAAAGGTAACTGTGACATGGGAGGGAAGGTAACTGTGACATGGGTAAAAAGGAACCTCGACTGGAACAGTGGATATTTGTTAAGAAATGTTACGACAATCTGGGCCGACTTAAGCAACAATATTGTCGTGGCGATGTGGTCAGCCTATATAGGGACTTGAAAACTAATTTGCACATCATAGTATAAACAGGGAGATCCTTACGTCTCTCCCCCTCTCCCAGATATGTTACTAAGGTAACAGAGAAAACAAATAACTAAACAAAGAAGAAGAAGAAAAAAAAAGAAAAATAATAATAATAATAATAATAATAATAAGAAGAAGAAGAAGAAGAAGAAGAAGAAGAAGAAGAAGAAGAAGAAGAAGAAGAAGAAGAAGAAGAAGAAGAAGAAGAAGAAGAAGAAGAAGATGAAGAAGTAGTAGAAGAAGAAGAAGAAGAAAGAGAATCAGAATAAGAAGAACAAAAGAAAGAAATGGTTACAAATTAGGCCTGTCTTACATTCGGCCCTTTCCATAAGAAGAAGAAGAAGAAGAAGAAGAAGAAGAAGAAGAAGAAGAAGAAGAAGAAGAAGAAGAAGAAGAAGAAGAAGAAGAAGAAGAAGAAGAAGAGAAGAAGAAGAAGAAGAAGAAGAAGAAGAAGAAGAAGAAGAAGAAGACGACGAAGAAGAAGAAGAAGAAGAAGAAGAAGAAGAAGAAGAAGAAGAAGAAGAAGAAGAAGAAGAAGAAGAAGAAGAAGAAGAAGAAGAAGAAGAAGAAGAAGAAGAAGAAGAAGAAGAAGTTATATTGTAGGGATAATTGTTCTTGGCTGCCTTAGAAAGTTCTACAGTGAGGCAATTAGAAGCAGTTTGAATGGTTTGTGCATTGCTTGCGCCAATTCTCCTTCTAAAATAATCTGTGACCGCTTCAAGCATTATGCAACTCACAATTTGCTTTTGGATTCTTATATTCATTGAATATCTGTCGGAGCCTCTTGTGTCCCATTCTTCTCTTGTGTCCCATTCTTCTCTTGTGTCCCATTCTTCTCTTGTGTCCCATTCTTCTCTTGTGTCCCATTGTTCTGTTGTGTTAACCCTTGCACCAGCAGATCATTCAACACCTCTGCCCCACTGTTGTGTTAACCCTTGCACCAGCAGATCATTTAACACCTCTGCCCCACTGTTGGATTATTTTTACTCATAAAAACTCAAAGATTATTACTCTTAAGTACAAACACTTTATTATTAGGGGAAAAAATGGCTCAACTCACTGTCTTGCATAAACTGAACCCGTAGGACACGACTGAACCCATCAGGCAAGACTGAACTCAGCAGACAAGACTAAACCCAGCAGACAAGACTGAACCCAGCAGACAAGACTGAACCCAGCAGACAAGACTGAACTCAGCAGACAAGACTAAACCCAGCAGACAAGACATAACTCAGCAGACAAGACTGAACCTATGAGACAAGACTGAACCCAGGAGACAAGACTGAACCTATGAGACAAGACTGAACCTATGAGATAAGACTGAACTCAGGAGACAAGACTGAACCCAGGAGACAAGACTGAACCCAGGAGACAAGACTGAACCCAGGAGACAAGACTGAACCCACGAGACAAGACTGAACCCAGGAGACAAGACTGAACCCAGGAGACAAGACTGAACCCAGGAGACAAGACTGAACGCAAGAGACAGGACTGAACCCAGGAGACAAGACTGAACCCATGAGATAAGACAAGACTGAACCCATGAGAGAAGACAAGACTGAACCCAGGAGACAAGACAAGACTGAACCCATGAGACAAGACAAGACTGAACCCATGAGACAAGACATGACTGAACCCAGGAGACCAGACTGAACCCAGGAGACAAGACTAAACCCAGCAGACAAGACATAACTCAGCAGACAAGACTGAACCTATGAGACAAGACTGAACCCAGGAGACAAGACTGAACCTATGAGACAAGACTGAACCTATGAGACAAGACTGAACTCAGGAGACAAGACTGAACCCAGGAGACAAGACTGAACCCAGGAGACAAGACTGAACCCAGGAGACCAGACTGAACCCAGGAGACAAGACTAAACCCAGCAGACAAGACTGAACCCAGAAGACAAGACTGAACCCAGTAGACAAGACTGAACCCATGAGACAAGACAAGACTGAACCCATGAGACAAGACAAGACTGAACCCATGAGACAAGACATGACTGAACCCAGGAGACAAGACTGAACCCAGGAGACAAGACTAAACCCAGCAGACAAGACTGAACCCAGAAGACAAGACTAAACCCAGCAGACAAGACTGAACCCAGAAGACAAGACTGAACCCAGGAGACAAGACTGAACCCATGAGACAAGACAAGACTGAATGCATGAGACAAGACAAGACTGAACCCAGGAGACAAGACTAAACCACTCTCATGCAGCATAAACACATACAGAGTGAATGAATTAACTAGTGGTCTCATTGATTAGCCCAGGTGTCTACTCCACAGGCCGCCATCTTTCACAAGGAAATGTGGACAGGACATTTGAGTGGGGCGGATGTAGTCACAACATCGACTTTGGGGCCCAGTACGCACGCAAGTTCATGGATTCTAAAGAAGCCGCGAGGGATATCCATTCACAGATAAACTTACATAACAACAGAGCAGGGCGGCTGGTAAGTGGTGGAGTGTGAAGCTGATATGGTCTTGTACATAAGGCTCCTATGTGCTTGTAAATAAGGCTCCTATGTGCTTGTACTTAAGGCTCCTATGTGCTTGTACATAAGGCTCCTATGTGCTTGTTCATAAGGCTCGTATGTGCTTGTGCACAAGGCTCGTGTGTGCTTGTACATGAGGATGGCATGACACTTACGTTTGAGGCCGGCGTGTAGTTGTGTGTGAGGCTAATAAGTAGGTGTGTGTAAAGCTAATAAGTAGGTGTGTGTGAGGTTGGTAAGTAGGTGTGTGTGAGGCCAGTGTATAGTTGTGTGTAAGGCTGGTAGGTAGATGTGTGTGAGGCTGCTTCCCTGACTACTGATTTAAAAATGGACATTATAACACACCAGCCAATCCCACAGATGCTTCATCTCCCACGGCAAATGTCTCCAAGTGTAAATGCTAACTGTTCCTGTTGCACACCGATTATACACATGTCGTTCTCTTCCTGTCAAATGTCCTTTGTGCTGGAACCACACCTAATTGTTCGTTCACTCATTCTTTCACATGTTATTTCATCTATCCTTGTATCTTCTGTCTTCTATCTTCTTTTGCAGCCATAAAATCAGCTTTCATTTCTTAACACTCCAGAATATCCCAGACAGTAAATCCATGTAATTCCCTGTCATGTTCACCTACTGATGACTGGTATTCACTCATGCCCCATTAATCCATGTGTAAACTTCTGCAGATCCGACTAAAAATCAGTCACAATAAATCATCTGGTAACTTTGTTTTCTGATATCCACCTCAGAGCCGCACTGATTGCTTCCACCTCCATTATCATGCTTGAAGTTGTTTAAAACAAAACAGCATCATTTTGTTCTGCCACAATCTTTGCTTTCACTCAGGCTGAAAACGCAGCCAGAATATTCAACCTCTTTGAACAGAACCATCGGTGTACACTCTTGTACCCTCCATCTATCGTTTTCATCCGTCAGTTGTTGTACCACTAATTCTGACATAGCATCACACTCAGTTGTTGTACCACTAATTCTGCCATAGCATCACACTCAGTTGTTGTACCACTAATTCTGCCATACCATCACACTCAGTTGTAGCACTAATTCTGCCATACCATCACACTCAGTTGTTGTACCACTAATTCTGCCACACCATCACACTCAGTTGTTGTACCACTAATTCTGCCACACCATCACACTCAGTTGTTGTACCACTAATTCTGCCACACCATCACACTCAGTTGTTGTACCACTAATTCTGCCACACCATCACACTCAGCTGTTGTACCACTAATTCTGCCATACCATCACACTCAGTTGTTGTATCACTAATTCTGCCATACCATCACACTCAGTTGTTGTAGCACTAATTCTGCCACACCATCACACTCAGTTGTTGTACCACTAATTCTGTCATACCATCACACTCAGTTGTTGTACCACTAATTCTGCCACACCATCACACTCAGTTGTTGTACCACTAATTCTGCCATACCATCACACTCAGTTGTTGTACCACTAATTCTGCCATACCATCACACTCAGTTGTTGTACCACTAATTCTGCCATACCATCACACTCAGTTGTTGTACCACTAATTCTGCCACACCATCACACTCAGTTTTTGTACCACTAATTCTGCCATACCATCACACTCAGTTGTTGTACCACTAATTCTGCCATACCATCACGCCACTCTATTGCTTTTTCTAATGGGAGAGGGACCTGGTGGAAACTGCTGTTCTGGGTGTTTGTGTCAACTTATTCCTGCTTCATGTTCAGTGCTCGACTGAGGCATTCAGCCCCATAGCATCTTCAGCCTCTGCCATCCTTGCCTTTCCTCTTTTCAACCGGTCTACCCAAATATCTTTTAGATTGTCATGTTTTCAGCATTGGTAACTGGCATGTAGGTCTTGGCTTGTGCCTGTGACAGTCTGGACGTTACTGATGTCAGCCCAGCCATCTACATTATAGTTCTAATTGGCGTATTCCATGTCAAACCACAGACGCTTCTCATTCCTTTGTAATCCGTTCAAATCGTGTAGACTGTAAATTGTGTATAGTTAAAATGCCTAGGCATAAAAAAGACCATACGGTTGAAGAACAAGACCAGTATTTTCTGCTCCCGGTGTGTTGCTATCATCATCTTACCTACAGCATACAATGTACACACAGCTTAGGCCTACACAGCTTAGGCCTACACCAATCTGAACACATAATTATAACCCACGCCAATCTGAACAGACATAATTAGAACCCACACCAATCTGAACAGACATAATTAGAACCCACGCCAATCTGAACGAACATAATTAAAACCCACACCAATCTGAACAGACATAATTAGAACCCACGCCAATCTGAACAGACATCATTAGAACCCACGCCAATCTGAACAGACATAATTAAAACACACGTCAATCTAAACAGACATAATTAGAACCCACGTCAATCTAAACACATAATTAGACCCCACACCAATCTGAACAGACATAATTAGAACCCACACCAATCTGAACACATAATTAGAACCCACACCAATCTGAACACATAATTAGAACCCACACCAATCTGAACAGACATAATTGAAACATACACCAATCTGAACAGACATAATTAGAACCCACACAAATCTGAACACATAATTAGAACCCACGCCAATCTGAACAGCCATAATTAGAACCCACACCAACCTGAACAGACATAATTAGAACCCACACCAATCTGAACGAACATAATTAGAACCCACGCCAATCTGAACGAACATAATTAGAACCAACACCAATCTAAACACATAATTAGAACCCACACCAATCTAAACACATAATTAGAACCCACACCAATCTAAACACATAATTAGAACCCACACCAATCTAAACACATAATTAGAACCCACACCAATCTGAACGAACATAATTAGAACCCACACCAATCTAAACACATAATTAGAACCCACACTAATCTAAACACATAATTAGAATCTACACCAATCTAAACACATAATTAGAACCCACGCCAATCTGAACAGCCATAATTAGAATCCACACCAATCTGAACAGGCATAATTAGAACCCACACCAATCTGAACGAACATAATTAGAACCCACACCAATCTGAACGAACATAATTAGAACCCACGCCAATCTGAACGATCATAATTAGAACCCACACCAATCTAAACACATAATTAGAACCCACACCAATCTAAACACATAATTAGAACCCACACCAATCTAAACACATAATTAGAACCCACACCAATCTAAACACATAATTAGAACCCACAACAGTCAAAACACATAATTAGAACCCACACCAATCTAAACACATAATTAGAACCCACGCCAATCTGAACAGCCATAATTAGAACCCACGCCAATCTGAACGAACATAATTAGAACCCACTCCAATCTGAACAGACATAATTAGAACCCACACCAATCTAAACACAAACTAGAACCCACACCAATCTAAACACATAACTAGAACCCACACCAATCTAAACACATAACTAGAACCCACACCAATCTAAACAGACATAATTAGAACACACACCAATCTGAACAGACATAATTAGAACCCACACCAATCTAAACACATAACTAGAACCCACACCAATCTAAACACATAACTAGAACCCACACCAATCTAAACAGACATAATTAGAACCCACGCCAATCTGAACACATAATTAGAACACACGCCAATCTGAACAGACATAATTAGAACCCACATCAATCTGAATACATAATTAGAACCCACATCAATCTGAACACATAATTAGAACCCACATCAATCTGAACAGACATAATTAGAACCCGCGCCAATCTGAACAGCAGACATAATTAGAACCCACGCCAATCTGAACAGACATAATTAGAACCCACACCAATCTGAACAGACATAATTAGAACCCACATCAATCTGAACACATAATTAGAACCCACATCAATCTGAACACATAATTAGAACATACACCAATCTGAACAGACATAATTAGAACCCACGCCAATCTGAACGAACATAATTAGAACCCACATCAATCTGAACACATAATTAGAACCCACATCAATCTGAACACATAATTAGAACACACGCCAATCTAAACACATGATTATAACCCACACCAATCTAAACACATAATTAGAACCCACATCAATCTAAACACATGATTAGAACCTTCGCCAATCTAAATACATAATTAGGACCCACACCAATCTAAACACAAACTAGAACCCACACCAATCTAAACACATAACTAGAACCCACACCAATCAAAACACATAACTAGAACCCACACCAATCTAAACAGACATAATTAGAAAACACACCAATCTGAACAGACATAATTAGAACCCACACCAATCTAAACACATAACTAGAACCCACACCAATCTAAACACATAACTAGAACCCACACCAATCTAAACACATAACTAGAACCCACACCAATCTAAACAGACATAATTAGAACCCACGCCAATCTGAACACATAATTAGAACACACGCCAATCTGAACAGACATAATTAGAACCCACATCAATCTGAATACATAATTAGAACCCACATCAATCTGAACACATAATTAGAACCCACATCAATCTGAACAGACATAATTAGAACCCGCGCCAATCTGAACAGCAGACATAATTAGAACCCACACCAATCTGAACAGACATAATTAGAACCCACACCAATCTGAACAGACATAATTAGAACCCACATCAATCTGAACACATAATTAGAACCCACATCAATCTGAACACATAATTAGAACATACACCAATCTGAACAGACATAATTAGAACCCACGCCAATCTGAACGAACATAATTAGAACCCACATCAATCTGAACACATAATTAGAACCCACATCAATCTGAACACATAATTAGAACACACGCCAATCTAAACACATGATTATAACCCACACCAATCTAAACACATAATTAGAACCCACATCAATCTAAACACATGATTAGAACCTTCGCCAATCTAAATACATAATTAGGACCCACACCAATCTAAACACAAACTAGAACCCACACCAATCTAAACACATAACTAGAACCCACACCAATCAAAACAAATAACTAGAACCCACACCAATCTAAACAGACATAATTAGAAAACACACCAATCTGAACAGACATAATTAGAACCCACACCAATCTGAACGAACATAATTAGAACCCACACCAATCTGAACACATAATTAGAACCTACGCCAATCTAAATACAAATAGGTTACAACTTCTTGTCTTCACACGCGACGCATAGGACCTACACTAATCAAAACACAACTAGTCTAGAGCTAAACAAAGTTTTACGCAGCTTAGAACTAAACCAATCTAAACATACGCAGCTTAGAACTAAACCGATCTAAACATACGCAGCTTAGAACTAAACCAACTAAACATACGCAGCTTAGAACTAAACCAATCTAAACATACGCAGCTTAGAACTAAACCAATCTAAACATACGCAGCTTAGAACTAAACCAATCTAAACATACGCTGCTTAGAACTAAACCAATCTAAACATACGCAGCTTAGAACTAAACCAATCTAAACATACGCAGCTTAGAACTAAACCAATCTAAACATACGCAGCTTAGAACTAAACCAATCTAAACATACGCAGCTTAGAACTAAACCAATCTAAACATACGCTACTTTGAACTAAACCAGTCTAAACAAACATAACAATGACTTTCACAAATTAGAACTAAACCAATCTAAACATACGCAGCTTAGAACTAAACCAATCTAAACATACGCAGCTTAGAACTAAACCAATCTAAACATACGCAGCTTAGAACTAAACCAATCTAAACATACGCAGCTTAGAACTAAACCAATCTAAACATACGCAGCTTAGAACTAAACCAATCTAAACATACGCAGCTTAGAACTAAACCAGTCTAAACAAACATAGCAATGACTTTCACAAATTAGAACTAAACCAATCTAAACATCCCAGCTTAGAACTAAACCAATCTAAAGATACGTAGCTTAGAACTAAACCAATCTAAACAAACGTAGCTTAGAACTAAACCAATCTAAACAAACGTAGCTTAGAACTAAACCAATCTAAACAAACGTAGCTTAGAACTAAACCAATCTAAACATACGCAGCTTAGAACTAAACCAATCTAAACAAACGTAGCTTAGAACTAAACCAATCTAAACAAACGTAGCTTAGAACTAAACCAATCTAAACATACGTAGCTTAGAACTAAACCAATCTAAACATACGCAGCTTAGAACTAAACCAATCTAAACAAACGTAGCATAGAACTAAACCAATCTAAACAAACGTAGCTTAGAACTAAACCAATCTAAACAAACGTAGCTTAGAACTAAACCAATCTAAACAAACGTAGCTTAGAACTAAACCAATCTAAACATACACAGCTTAGAACTAAACCAGTCTAAACAAACATAACAATGACTTTCACAAATTAGAACTAAACCAATCTAAACATACGCAGCTTAGAACTAAACCAATCTAAACAAACGTAGCTTAGAACTAAACCAATCTAAACAAACGTAGCTTAGATCTACACAGTATAAACATGCACAGCTCAGAGCTACACCAGTCTAAACAAACATAACAATGACTTTCACAAATCTAAACATAACTGAGACTGGCGTCGCTTGCACCAAGCTGCCTCCAGTAGTCCGCTGTCTACAAGAGCTATGATATCTTCTCCAGGCTGTGATCAGAAACGTCCGAGAACAGTGCAAGTGTCACGGCATGTCTGGCTCCTGTGAGCTGGAGACTTGTTGGAAAGCCACCCCAGACTTCAGGAAGGTAGGAGAACTGCTTCGCCGCAAATTTGACGAGGCTTCAAAGGTACAGGTAAACCGCATGTTTATTTTTACATCTGATATCGGATTTTTTTTTTGCCTGCGTCTGTGGTCAAGGGGTTAAAAACATGATTCATATTTATGTACTAATCTGGTTTGATTCAGCTACTGATGGATGTGCAGCAAACCGCTTTGCATTGATTTCACAGCTGGTTAGCAGTACTGACTGTTCAGTCAAGTAAACAACACTTGTCCATGCCTTCAAGCATACTGGGCAAATAGGGCTAGACCTCACTTTTGTAGGCCGATCGGCACTTGATCATTGGATGATGTGGTCAAAATCACACAACTCACCTCTACCTCCAATTAGTGTACCTGGTACCCAATTAAAGCTGAGTGGACCTGGGAGCCAAGGTCACTTTTGACAAAAGTCTGGCTTAATCAGGACTTGAACCCACTACCTTTAAGCAGCCTTCTGCAGCCAAGCGACAAAGCGATACACCATAGGAGCCCCCTAACTACTCAGTAAGCAACAAATATTGCTTAGTGAAGCCATCAACCACCACCATATGTATCACACACATATCTTATCACATACATATCATATCACATACATATCATATCACATACACATCATATCACATACACATCATATCACATACATATCATATCACACACATATCATATCACATGCATATCATATCACATACATATCATATCACATACATATCATATCACATACATATCATATCACATACATATCATATCACACACATATCATATCACACACATATCATATCACATACATCTTGTCACATATCGTGTCACACATATATCATATCACATACATCTTATTACATATCGTGTCACACACATATCATATCACATACATCTTGTCACATATCGTGTCACACACATATCATATCACATACATCTTGTCACATATCGTGTCACACACATATCATATCACATACATCTTGTCACATATCGTGTCACACACATATCTTATCACATACATCTTGTCACATATCGTGTCACACACATATCATATCACATACATCTTGTCACATATCGTGTCACACACATATCATATCACATACATCTTGTCACATATCGTGTCACACACATACCATATCACATACATCTTTTTACATATCGTATCACACACATATCATATCACATACATCTTTTTACATATCGTGTCACAAAGGGAAGGAGGACTGCTCTATCTATATGCCCAAGACACTACAAGGAGAACAAGTGGATCCTTTACCAGTTATGTGGCGACATATTTACATTATGTTACCGAATTTTAGCTCCTGGAAAATGTAAACATCACAAAACATATTTCACTCTGTGAATGCTTTTTATTAGCACTGTGATTGTCTTAAAGTAGAAGCCATACAATGCCGTATCAGAATCTGAAGTTTTTTTCACTGGACGATTTCAGGGATTAGACGTCGGTACTGGGGATTCTTCTTGTATACCCTGGAAAGCAAATCACGTGAGCACCTGCTAACAACTGCAACCGTTATGAGAAAAGAGGCAGACGAAGACATGAAGATGGGGACTTGGGAGATTCGGCCACAAGGCATATAAAGGATAAGGTCACAGACCTGCTACTGGTCTCTGATGATTGTGTGAAATAATGCGCCCTAACAGAGGCAGCAAAAGCTTCCAGAGTTACCACAACATTGGGGAATTTATTTAAAGAGAGGCAAATAAAATATGTCCGCCATTAATGAAGACACTAAGTATATAGCACAATTTTTTTGACGCACACACAATCTAAAAAGTAACTGCTTGTTTTTACCATGGCAAACAGGTTCATGAATATCTCCTTCTGTCTGCAAAAGTCTCGATGGAGTGGATTTAATTTTGTAGCTTCCACATAGTGTAGCATTCTGTGATTGGCTGTTGTAGCTTCCACATAGTGTAGCATACTGTGATTGGCTGTTGTAGCTTCCACATAGTATAGCATACTGTGATTGGCTGTTGTAGCTTCCACATAGTATAGCATTCTGCGATTGGCTGTTGTAGCTTCCACATAGTGTAGCATTCTGTGATTGGCTGTTGTAGCTTCCACATAGTTTAGCATTCTGCGATTGGCTGTTGTAGCTTCCACATAGTATAGCATTCTGTGATTGGCTGTTGTAGCTTCCACATAGTGTAGCATTCTGTGATTGGCTGTTGTAGCTTCCACATAGTTTAGCATTCTGCGATTGGCTGTTGTAGCTTCCACATAGTATAGCATTCTGCGATTGGCTGTTGTAGCTTCCACATAGTATAGCATTCTGCGATTGGCTGTTGTAGCTTCCACATAGTGTAGCATTCTGTGATTGGCTGTTGTAGCTTCCACATAGTGTAGCATTCTGTGATTGGCTGTAGTAGCTTCCACATAGTATAGCATTCTGCAATTGGCTATTGTAGCTTCTACATAGTATAGCATTCTGCGATTGGCTGTTGTATGCAGAATTCAGAATACATGATCGTTGTTAAAAATGGCGTCAGATTTTAAAAGTTGGGAGGATTCATTAATTTGCCTTATTTTAATGAATTGTTACTCTAGTAAGCAAACAAGATGAAAACCGCATGGGATGGAAAGTGAGAAGCAACAACGAAATTTATAATCATTTCAAATCGCCATTGATCACCGGCATCGTGTGAGCTAATTGACTGTAATGGTTAGGGCATATTAATAGAATGTCAGATAACAGAGAAGTGAAAACTGTATAAACAAGGGAGGTGACTTGTCATAGACCACGAGGCAGACAAAGAAGGTTGATGGAGAGATAATGTCCAGACAGACCTGCGAACACTTGGTATCACCAACTGGAAAGAGAAGACCAACCAGAGAGATGACTGGAGGCGGATGATACTGCAGCAATAAACCTCAAATGTTCAAGTGCCGAAGAAGAAGAAGAAGTAAGCACCTGAAGAGATACTAGGACAAATGCCGGGCAACAAACTGTTCAGTGCAGTCTATGTTTTTTTGGTCTTCTTTGCTCAAACTCACAATGGGCAAACAATGTTTTGACTTTATCGGACATAACACTCTTATAAACTCCACCCTGTAGGAAAATATTGAAAGCAGGTTAACAGTAAGTAGACGGTAACACAGGTGGGAAAATAACATCAACAGATTGCACCACTTCCTGTTTGAGAGAGTCTACAGACTGGACAAGTGGCAGAGAGTGGTGTCAGTTCATACAGTCATCCTCCATTATAGACATGTCCCCTGATTGATAACAGAATACAGTAAAACTTGGATTAACTGTCACTCATTTAAACGTCACTCTCTGTTATCCACCATTGTCTAAAAGAAAAATGCACGAGTATCATCAGTAAACAAACGTAAATCTTTAAAGCTGTAAACAATGATGAAGAATCAGTTCCATACCTCGGGATGAGCCATTGTGATTGGTGACTTTCTTCCCACAACTCATAAGCTTCTGAATCCTTGTCTTGAGTGTTCCAGTAGTCACACGATTTGCACACTTTTGAGAGTGCACTTGTATCAATAACCTTTCCTGTGACACAGCCGATCAGCATGGTTACCCCTATTGTTGAGGAATGTCCTCGGGTCATCGAGGTTCCATCTGCACACACATGAGTATCCCGGCTATCATCAACTGACTGTCTTCTCTGCTAATCTAAATTCCATCGCTGCTGCTTTCTTCACGCTAGCTGCCTGAGAGGAGCTAACAGCACTTTCTATCCTTTCATTGATTAGTTTGTATGTACTCTTGTGGACAGGCGGCGGAAGATTCATTATTCCACGCGTGTCAATTGCGCTCTTACTGAGCCGTAAATTGCTCACTTACGGCGACTTCCGCCACCGCCGAGAGTATCCTTCACGCCGCTCACGCCGCGTGGATTGGGGCTTAACTAGATGGCTGGGAATCACGCTCAGCAGCTACCGCATCTCCTGCGGCTTCCTTTATTTTATTTGCTCGTGAGTCACTCTCAGTGGTGGCGATATAGTCCCTGGAAGTTCGCAATTACCACGTGACTGGGGCCCTGTTAGGGTATATATTCGGCCTCGATAATTTGGCACCGTTATTCGGAGGATAGCCCGATACTACTTAACTGATTAAAAAATGTATACTGAAACATGTAGGATATTGGTTAATTTTTAATTTGATACCAAGTTTGTTTCCAAATTCAAAATCACATTTTTTTCAAGATTCCCCGCCTCCTTAAACTGAAACCTACAGCTAGCTATCAGAAGCAGAAATATTGCTATCTAAGAGCATTGACTGGTTTCAAATGCAAGTTGAGGTAAATGCATTACAGGTCTACCGTAGTGCTATGTATTTCGGTACTTCGCTACTCTCATACGGGGGTTTATAGCGATGCTTTTGCAAAATTAAATTAAATATGTATGTATTATTCGTTTGTACAGGATTGTATTTTCATTTTCATCCAAAACGTGCATTGAAATCACTAATTCCCGTGCTTTAGCGATGTATTCAGAGATGTATGTTTTCCCTCCATCCAGTTATCCGTACAGCCATAGTCTAGACGGTGACGGTTAACCAAAGTTTGACTGTAATACCGTTGCCTTTTTTTCACAGGTGGATTTTACCAACACCGCAGATGCTAAAATTTTCAAACGAAACGGCAAAAAACCTCACAAGATGGATCTACTTTTCTACGAGAAATCACCCAACTTCTGTGAAGAGAATCCGAACCTAGATTCTCCAGGCACCACCGGCAGGTACTGCAACAAGAGCAGTGACGGGGTGGACAACTGCGACACGTTGTGCTGTGGGCGTGGCTACAACACGCTAAAGGTGAAGAGGTCAGAGCGATGTAACTGCAAGTTCTACTGGTGTTGTTACGTGGAGTGTCAGGTGTGTTCCTTCACGGAGTGGGTCACCGTCTGTAAGTGACAACTATCATTATGTGCCCACTCGACAGTCTTGCAGATGGTGAAGTCTTGCAGCGCCACTACTGACCTTGACATAATCAACCTCAACAGCTAAAGCAGGTCATGATCAAGTATTAGCTACAATCCACCAAGGATGGATCATCCAACTGTGCATTTTG